AACAATTATACTTGGAAAAAAAACCCAAACAGATTTAAATCAATACACTTTACTACTTATTTGATAAAATAGTAAAAGAAAAAGCAGATTTAGTAACAATGTTCAAGTACAGGTACTTGTAATTGAAACAGCCAGCAGAGGGAGTATAAAAACAATTAAAAAACCATCAAACAGCCTTTTTTCTTTATATATATATATATTTTACTTATGATTTAGCTTTCAGTTAGAATACAATAATATGCTGACAGTGCAAACATTGTAATATTTTAAAACAAGCAAAAATCAAATGCTCAGGTGTTAAACAGAACTACTTGAAACTCAAATACTTTTTAAAGTGGCATTAAAAAAATGAGCCCATATTAAACTCAATCTGAATTTTAAACACAAGCAAGGTTAATATCAATCAACAAGCTGCATAAGCCTTATCCAACTTCAAAATCCAGTCACCCACAGACTCTGATTCTTAACTTTCTGAATGTAAAACTAAGTCCACAATTCCATAATATTGAGAGAACATTGGTTGTCATCTATTTGTATTAGAAAATATCACAGAATCTTAAAACTGAACAGAAGTTACTGTTGTACTGATCTGTATGACAGACGACATAAGAGCAAGACAGCCAGGTATATGCCCTAGATCATTAGTGCAAGTAAGAACTCACACAACTGTTTTCAAAATCAAGTCACTAAGTCACAACATGTTGAAGAAAAACACATCTTCACACTTCAGGTTTTCACCATGTCCAGTTGATGAGGGTGGCTTAAACATGAGCAAAACCAAAAAGGACACAAATGGGGTGAATGAACCTGCCAGCCTTGTGTCAGAATAAGCTACCATCCTCCTCACACAAGTGGCAAAAATAAACCATCTCCCAACTCATCTAAACTATCCCACTGTGCATAATCACACCTTCCACAGTTCATCTCACAGGAGAAGCAAGGTTACTGAGTTAACAGGGAAGGCATTACCTCCTCTCTCAAGACTTATGAGCACTAGGTACTCCCAAACCATCAGGCACAAGCAGCAGAGCTGAGGAGTCTAAGGGACAGAACATTAGATATTCCAAATTCAAACTGCATGTTTTACAGACAACCATTTGTAAAAATACCTGATTTGGAAAAGCAAGCCTTTCTCCACTGCTCGTGCTTGCATGGTTTTCATTACCTTTCCATGGCATTCCTTGCTGTTTGCCCTATGTATTTTTCTGTCATCCCACTAAGTAGAGTGGCAGTGCTGCAGACCAGGATACATCATGTTTCTGTACATTAATGCAAAATGTGAAACACCAGTTGTGATAGGAGCTGTTGAGTGACATCACTCATCATAACTATAGCCTACTTTAGTGATAGTTTTGCTTTCAATTAACCTGGAGTCAGAACCCATGGGGTGAAAACCACATGTAATTCATTTCTTACATATTCTAAATTTTAAGCATGATTTAATTGGAAAACCAAATCCTGTTTTCCTTCACACAAGGGATTCATTGCTGAAGATCAGAATTTAACTTAGAACACCCTGACTGCAAAAAAATTAATACACAGACCAGGAAAAACAGAGTCAAGACAAGATTAACTTTTCCATTAGATTAAGTAACAGGAATACTTTTGACATTATTTAAATTTCAATTGCTATTTTCTTCCTGAACAACATATCTTACATGTATTCTTTCTTAAGAGTGCTGCTTAATCAGAAAGTCTTAGCATGTGGCATATGAAGTATGGACTAAAACAGCCAGAAAAAAAGGTAACTGTATACAATAAAAACACACTGATAATTCTCTGACAAGCAGAAAGCCCACCTAGTGGAAAGAACTCATACCTGCCAGTAGACTTATGGGACACAGATGATACATGATACATCTGCACCATAAGAGAAGACCTGGAATGTGAAAGGAAGACGGTATGCTCTCCTAGAGGCAAGACATTTCCCAGAAATCTGAAATACTGGAATAGCTGGCAACTTGCAGTATTCTAAATACGACAGAACTCCACTGGAGTATTGATCCAGGATGTTCAATACTAAAAGTTTCTTAAAACACTGCGTAATGCACCAAGACTTTGAACAGTTAAGAAAAAAAAAACATACATCACACAAAGTTCATAAAAGCTTCTGCAGTCCAGTCTTTCATTAGGAATTTTAATAAGATAAATAACCAGATATGGCACAAAGTGAGTATTGCAGAACCTAAAATTTTAATAATAATAACCTTTTAACAAAATCCTGACTGAAGAGCATGCAAGTCAGAAGAGCTGAAATGAAAGAAGGACTATATCTCTAGCAACTTCACTATTTTCCACTCTTGATGATTCTGTTATGCCACTTTTAAATTTTCTCTCCAGAAGGACTCCTCTCAGTCCTCTTCCCTACAGCTCTCCTCAGGTTCTCTGCAAAAATATTTAGGCTCTTTTCTTTGTCTTTAAAGTCAAAGAGCATATATATGCACATAGATATAATTTAGAACTTAAAATACAATTCAGGAAACAAAAGTTATGAGACACAGCACATTATTTCCATTATTTTACATGATCTCATCCTCTTCATAACAATGATAGCCTTCCAGCTGCATTGTAACCAGGACTGTGGACACCACTCCAAACAGCTGGACAAGTGCTCTTTGCAGTAGCTGCACTGGAACCAAATAGTATCTTGTTTGACTTCCCTCCACTCCTTTTTTCAGCCTTGTTTCCTAAGGAAATCAGATTTATGCAATCACTCGGGAGGGAGGGAAGGGTACAAATATGTACATACGCACCACATGTGAATGTCTGTCTGTCAGTCTATCTGACCTCACTAATACCTGCTGAGCCCACTGGTCAGTTTCAATCCCATTCAAAAAAGTGCATATCAGACTTTTAAGTTCTTGAAAGTTTCATGAGCACGAGCTGTGGAGTATGGAAAAGTGTATCCACAGAGAGAGGCTGCATATCTTCTTAGACATCAGTAAACTCACAGGGGAAAGAACAGTTCTGCTCCCTTCCTGCCGGAAAATCTTCAGTCAGAGGTCACAATCAGTGAAAGACAACCAAATTTCTTGTGTTCAAGAGTTCATAAAGTAGCGTAAGTTGAATTCACTACTGCTTTTAAAGCTGTTTAGAACAAAGCTGATGTTTTCCACATCATCTTTTTCCTCATCTAGCATAGGAGTGAATTGCCGTATATGATACACATTCCCTTTTTCAGTTCATTGCTTTCAAGACCACTTATTCTAAAACATCAGCATTGTACCACATGCATGTCAGCATTCTACCCCACTCAAACACAAAGAAAATTAAAACTGGAAGAGTTTAGGATTCCCTTCAGGTCTCAAGACTAAACAAGTATGTGGCTCTGTGCTATAATCAGCTATTGAATAAAGTTGAAAAAACATAGTGCAGCAAATATAATAATCATCTTTATTCACCACTACTCTGGAACACAAGTACTACCACACTTGCAGGCTCTTGTACTTAAGACAGCTCTAAGTAATAAAACAGATAATGAGGTTTCAGTGGACATCTCTGTAGTTCTTCTCACATCTCCCCAATGAACCATACACGGTTCATCTGTATCCAAAAAGCCACCTATAAAAAAGTATACTAAAAGACTACAATTCAAGTCTAGGGACACCTTAAGGCATAGATCCACAAACTAAGGAGCTGTCACAAGAAGAAAATATAGCCACAGCTGACAGAAGTCATCCTAAGCATCACAATACAAGCAAAAAAAACAAGCAAAAAAAAAAAATTAAAAAATTTATTTATTTTATATATATATATATATAAAATATATATATATATAAAATAAATAACTGATACCTGCTCCGCTTGTAAATTCTTTAGTCCCGTGACCACACCGAAGCCCAGCGCATTTCCCGGCGGGGTGCTGGAAGTGAGGGCTGGCAGGGGGACGGGTCAGGCAGACCCCGGGAGGTTTCGTCCCGAAGCCCCGGCCGTTCCGGGGCCACCCCAACCCCGGGGCGCGCAGCCGGCGGGGCGCGGCGTGCCGGGGAAGAGCCTTGGAGGCGGGAGAGCGAGACACCCAAGGGGCAACGGGGCCGCACGTCCCTGCGAACGGGGAGTTTGTGCCATACGAAGCCTCCTCCCCGATCCCACAACCCGCCGCAGGGCTTGGGCCGCTCCCGCCGGGCTCCCCCGACCAGCACAGGGAGGGCACTCGCCGAGCCCCGCACCGAGAGGAGGCCGAGCTCCGGCCCTACTCCCGCCTGCCGGCACGGGGCGACCGCGGCCCCGCGCCCTTCCCCCGCGTTCGGGCTCGGTGGGAGCCAGCGAGGCTTTGGGAACAGCTGGCTGCGGGAGCCCTTTGTGGAACGCCTTAATCCCCCCTTTATTCCGCACTCCCCGCCAGCCGTTCACTACCCCCGTTCCAGAGCCAGCCGCTCGTAGCAAGGAGCACATGTTTCCTCTCGGGCTCCTGGCCCGCCTTACAACGAGCCACAGCCAAGGGAAGGCGGCACCCGCTACCGAAGCCGAATCAGAAATATGGAATGTGAACGCGCGTGGCAGATCTGACGGGGGATGCAGAAAGAAGCGATCCATTTCACCCTTTTCGGTCCTCCCCTGCAGTTTGTCTGTCAATTGCCGATACCATAATGCTTCCTTATTGCCTGTTCAAGTAAGTAGGGGGGACAGTCTCCATTCCTCTACGCGTCATTCCTGAGCAAATTAAGCATGTACCAGGCGAAAGGCTGACATACATACACGTAGAGTTGTCTGATACCGGAATAATGTCGAAATCCTCGAGGCATTAACAGCCAGCTCCCACAAAGAGCACTCAATTACATCCAGCATCCCCTTTGTCCGTACATCCTCAATACACACCCGGTCGCTCCTCCATGCGTCCACGCACGCCCCACGTATACGGCCCCTTTGTGTCCTCGCCTCCCCCCTACTCACAAAGAAATGCCCTTTCCACAAGGCATGCACCCAGCCTCGGACACAGCCCTTCGCCTTGCCGCAAGACACGCGCGACACGCCGCCCGGCACAGAGCTCCGGTACCTACTTGTATTCAAGAAACAGTCCGTAAACCTCCTAAAGCAGCTTGCAGAATTAGATCCATCTTCCATGTCTGGCCCTAGGAGCAGGGGAGACGAGAAGGAGAAGAAGGCGCCTCTCTGCCGCTGCCGCCGCCTAGGAGTCCTGCTCCCGCCGGGGCCGTCGCCTCCTCGAATCCCGTCGCCGCGGGCTGCTGCTGCTGCAGCACCGAGGGAATTGCAGGACCACGGGCGAGAGGCGGCTGGGGAGAGGAGGAGCAGGGAGTGGTGCTGTCGGGGGCCGCCGGCTGCGGAACGGAGCAGCAAGCCCTGGACGGAGGAAGAACAGAAGAGTCTCCTCCTGCCGCTGCCTCCTGGATGGGCGATCAAGTGAGCTGCTGCTGCTGCTCCTCCAACATCTCTTCCTCCTCCTCCACCTCCTCCTCCTCCTCCTCCTCCTGCCGCTCTCGCTGCCTCTCCTCCTCCTTCCCTCCCTTGGAGACTTGTGAGGTTAAAGGAAAATGAGGAGGGGAAACGAGGAGGCGGCGGCAAGGAATAAAAAGAAGATGGAGAAGCGTAGGAGAAGGAGGGGATTGGAACGAGGAAAGGAGCCGCTGCCGCTCTAGAGACGATGCTGGCGGAGGAGGCTGTGCCTGTAGCGCGACTCCTGCTGCTGTTGGTGGTTGTTAGGAGGAGAGAGAGGGAGCTGCAGGCAGCCGAGTCGTCTCCAGGAGCGGGGGGAGGAGGAGGAGACCCGCCGCTGCCTCCACCTCCACCGCTCTGGCCATGGGAGTGGAGCGGGCGGCTGCCCGAGCCGGGCTTTTCCCCGGGTGCTGCAGCTAGGGGGGCCAAGGGGCGGGATAAGATCTGCTTCTCCGAGTTGGACATGCTTCCGCTCTTCCCTCCCTTTCGCGGTAGTTTAAGGCAGGACGTCTAGAAGATATACAGGAGTAAAGCGAAAGAGGAAGCCGAAAAAGGACGGAGCCAAACAAGGGGCAACAGCGGATCAGCCCTGCGTTCCCTCCGACAACTCTTGGGCATTATTTCCTCGGCACCCCGGCTCTCCGCCCTCATAAAATCCTCACATTTCCGTTCCCCCTTTAGGCCAGAGGGGACAGGGCGCGACTGACCGCCAAGAGGTTTCAATCCCCTTTAAAGTCCGCTTTTCCCCATGCTCCCACCTCGCATTCAAAGCAAGAAAACGGAAACAATCTGTATTTTCTTTGAGCGAGGCAAATATTGCCCTGTATGTGTGCGCTCGCCTGCAAAAAGGCAGATACAGTCACTGCAGTGCCGCTTCCACACCAGCCCCGGCCGCCAGAAAACGCCCACTGGCGGAGTCAGCGCTTCCCAAGCTCCCTCCCTCCTTTCTCCCTCTCTTCCTCTCACTGCTAAGCGCGCACAGGGAGCTACAGCACAGCGGTTACCTAAAGGCAAAGCGGGGAGAAACACGAGGAAAAGATTCTCCCTATGCGGTGTCATTATTTTAAACATACATTTCCAGCTGCTGAGATCAAAAGGCGGATGCCCTGCTATTCCTGGGCTGGAGATATCAGAGAGCTGCCCCTCCGTTTCTGTGGGGCATCCAACACCATTTCCACGAGAAGATGTGCAGCATCACATGTGTTTGCTTTGGCTCCCCCCTGCTCTTCCCACCACTTGGCATACGGACAGCCACCCACCCCTCAACCCCAACCCTCCGGCTCCCCGGAGGCTGCCTCAGATCCTGCTCTCAGGTGCAGTGTGGACCCGGGGCTGCCACGGGCCTTGCTCCGCAAGCACAGGCACCGTCGCTCGCGGTGAGCCAGTGGAGCCCGTCGCGCTGGCCAGCCGCCACCTCAACCCCGCGCTGGGGTCCCTGGGCATTCGGGGCCCTTCCCCTCCGCCTCACCCCGCCATCCTGGCCGCAGCCCGCCCGTCCCGGTGCCTCGGCGGTCCGCGCTACGGCGGCCCTCAGCGGGGCAGCCGCCGGCCGAACGCCCGTCCAAGGGAAGCCCAAAGGCGGGGTCGGATTGGAGAGGGGCCGACGACCGCGCTAAAGCCTCCGCCGCTTGTATTTCGTTTTCGCCCTAAATTCTCTCTACCCTGCTCGTCAGCTGCCGAGAGGCGGGAAGAGAGGGCCGAGCCCACCGGGATCCATCTCCAGCAGCAGGAAAGTGTGGACAGCATCGCCAATTTGCTATGGGGCTCCCCTCAGCCCTGCCGAGCGTTCCCGTCGGGCCGGGCCGAGCGGGACCGCAGCCGTCGTAGCGCCGAAGCCCCGCGCCGCCCGTCGGCACGACCGGAGCCCCAGGGCTTCGGGTACCCTGCCGCCGAGCTCCCCCCCCCCCCCCCCCCCCCGGGGGCCGCCCCCCCCCCCCCCGCCTCGGGACAGCCGTGCCCCCAGCACTGTCAGCGCCGGGAAAAGGCCATCATCGTTCATCATCCGGCCATCCGGAGCAGCCCTTGCTTGGCGCCCCTGCCCTCACCCCGAAGCAGCGGCGTTCACCTGGGCGGGGGCTGCGATGCCCGGCTGTCGCCTCCCCTCTCCCGGCGGCAGCTGTCGGGCGGCGGGGCGTGCCCGGCTCCGTGCTAGAAAACACACGGAGGGGACGAGGGGGCTCAGCGTGGGCTTCCCGAGCGCCAGGCAGGAGCTCCCTCCGGGCACCCGCGGTGTCGACCGCCAGCGCGGGGGCACCTCTGGGACCCGGCTGCGAGGGACTGGTGCCCGGCGCAGTGCCACCCCGCCGCGGCAGGACAACGCGCCCGGGGCTCCTACCCCGCAGCTACCTGGCGGAGGGAACCGCTCTCCCCAGGTGGGCGACGCATCCCCTCGGCGCTACACCCCGCCAGGGGGAGGAGGAGCGGCCGCCGCGCTGGTGCCCACCCAGGCGGGGCCGCCGCAGTGCCACTGGCAACAGATTTTGTTGTGGTGCGGCGGGGTCCCCGTGCAGCCAGGGCGGGCGCTGCCCCGTAGGGGAGATGGAGTGGGCACCGCCGCAACCGTTGCAGATATTGGCGGAAAAGATGTTTGTGTTGCCGCTGCCAGCAGGGCACCCGAAAAGCGGGAGATTCTGTTTTGCTCCTCTACCTTCCCGGAGATCAGACCTCCACGCCGTCCACCGCCGCTCTAGGTGCTAGGTCCAGATGGTGGGAATCCTCATCGAACTACCGCAGTCTTCCTATTTCCGTTCAAAATTAGTCTCGCTCTTTCGAATTTCGATTCCTGCTTCGATAACAGTGTAAACCTACGCTGTTGGGTTTTATTTTAAATCGTTCAAGTGTTTTATAATTATAATTACAGGACTTCTTTCAGTGCTAGAAAACACACCAACTCATGTTACAGCTACAGTCTTTATGTATCAACCTGTAACGCTGAAAAAGATACTCTTCTGAAAATAGCAACGATCTCAAAGTGCCTTTCCAGCCAGCTCAGCTGTTCAGTAACAGTGAGAAACAATCCAGAGTTGGGAAAAGGTTTAGAATGCAAAAATAGATTAAAGACTGTAATTAAACAAAACCCCCACGAAACAAAACAAGAAAACTCAGGTTTTACTAAACTGTTTCCATCTGCATGGTTCTTAAAACTTAAAAAACATGAACTAAAATGCAGAAAACTGAATATGTTTTGTGATCCACTTTCTCTTAGGACATTTACCTTTACCAAAATAGTTTAATAACTTCTATTTAATATGCCTCTTTGTGTGAGATTCTTTTATTTCCTTAAGTCCAACCATTACATAGAGGGCTTTCCCCTGAAAACTGCTGCACAAGGACTAGAGATTCAGTGAATATTTAAATTCTCCAAGAGAAAGTTTTGCTAATGGAAACAAAATTTCAGTGAATTGTGTTTTGTTATTGCAGCCTGTTTGTTTAGCAATCAACAATTTCTTATTAGAAAAACTCTTATACTAAAATGTTTAAACTGAAAGAGCTAATCGGATTGAAACGACTGACAAAAAGCAAGAGCCAGTCACCCGAAAATTAAAGCAGGTCCTTTAGACAGATTAGTCCCAAATTGTTCTGTTAATTAAAAGAGTAAATTACTGACACTTTATATCGTCAATTTATAATTGTAGAAATCTTGTTTAACTATGCTAATCCATGCTAAATTCCTCAACTGCTGCTCATCCAAACTGCAGTTGTTCAAGTATCACTGTCTCAGGCTGGATATCTGTGTATTCATACAAGGCATATCAATGGTGCATGTATAAATACGTATCTGTATGTTCATGAAACAGGCAAAATACATTTTGATTTGTAAAAAAATCATCAGATATTCTAGAAAAGCAGCTTTCAGGTTAAGGGTAATTTACAAGCTATTCATCTGATTAATATTCATTAGCCATTGGCAATTCATACCTGATTGATCACCTGCTTCTTGACTGGGCAAGCAAAAGCAATCACAAAAAAAAGTTAGATGAGAGTGAAAATTATTTTTCAAGCTCTCTACATTTATATTTGTAAATTATACAGACTTGCACACAAGTTATCTCATGGCCATCTCAATACCTGGGGATAAATTAGTGGTGAATCACATTTGCTCATCAATGTCAGTCTGGGTTTTCATTGCTCAGTCAGCATCAACATTTCCATTGCCACAGAGTAGTGATGTCACTGATCCCACTGTAGTACTAACCATATACTCACATCATTTACCAGAAAAGTCTCACCCACTCCAATACGAAACAGTGAGATTCGCTACGTCATCCCCCATACATCCTCTCCCCCTGAAGAAAAAAGTATTTTAAAAATGTAGAAACACAACAAAATGCATGTTAAAATACTTCAGTGCATTCCCTTGTGCCAGGTGCAAGGGTTTGGGTACAAATGCCCTGTGTCAGTGCAACCATGAGCAAAGGATTTCAGTTGTATTTATACGGATAAATGTGATTTCATGGGAATTCAGAAGTCACAGCCATCAGGAGGCCACTGAAGCCATCAGGTGCCCTGTACTTACAAGCACAGGCCTGGTTTGAAAGCAGCTAATAAGACTGTATGGGAATAATTTGGCAATATTAATCAACATACTTGAAGAAAAACATTGTCGGGAAAAAACATAGTTATAACAAAGGTTTTTTTGGTATTAAATACAGCTTAAACTAAAAACCTGTTCTTTCCCAGTTCTGTCGGCTCCATTTTAAGAATGACAGTGACTCGTCTTTTATCTGGTCCCACTCTTTTGTCTGGTAAATCCTCTTATCTTTATATCCTGAGTCCATTCTACCATGTATGACCAATTCCTTGAAAAAAAAAAAAAAAAAAAGAAGAAATAGGACAGAATATGGGGAAAGGGAGTTTATAAAAATGTAGAATGACAGCAGTAGAGGAGCTGACAGAACTAAATACCTGAATGTGGGTGAGACAGAAACATCCACAATGAAATAAAGAGAAGGCAACCTACTGGAAACGTGGGGCAGGGGCAACAAAAGGATAAATGCAGTTAAACCCAAGCTCTGAGGGTGAGTAAATACAAGTAAAAATATTTATAGAAAAGTCCTGAGCAAGTTGATAAAAATAATTCTTTTGCGCTTTTTTTTTTTTTTCTTCCCCCAGGGATTTTCTGCTAAATGATCTTACGGAATACAGTAATTGCCATCCAGATACTGAATTGCTATAATGAATTAGAAACCTCCAGAAAAGACATTGTTTCCTAAAATTGTAAGAGTAATTTATAGAATCTCTTACTTCATAAGAGTTTGTTCTTACAAAGGACAATTCTCAAACACATACTCATGCAAGGAGTAAGTTCGTTTAAAGGGTATGTATCAGTCACTTTCTTTGATTCCCACAAACACTCACCCAAGCCACCTCTTTTCCACACGAATATTAACTGCAAGTGTTGGCAATAGGCAAACATGGTAGCAGCCATCTTGAAAGTATTCTGGGGAATTACTTAGTCAAGTTGCAGAAGAAATGCTGTGAGATAGAAAATGAATGACAATTCTTTCAGAAAATAAAAAACCCCTATTTTTTAAGAAGTCCAGGTCTGTTCAGAGATAACTGACATCCAGAAAAATAATAATAAAAAAAATGTAGATAAATATCTAGTTTACTTTCAGTATTTTGTTCAGCTCTGCTATGTCATTTCACTTTCTG